ATTGAAATCTTTTGTAACATTATAAATGTCTTTACTGTCACTTTTAATCAATTTAATGCATCCTTGCTGAAAACAAATATAGCATATAAAGTAATTTCTTTCAAAAAAATAAAAATATCTTACGGACCTCAAACTTTTGAACAGTAGTGTACGCACATCTGTGACCACATTAGGTGAAATTCATGTACATGTTATGTCAACTACCCTTTGATCGGGCACTTTTGTATGTTACAGGTATGCTGCTTCTGTCGATGATATTCTTGAGGAAGAGGAACATTATGCTGATCAGATGAAGGAGTACCTTTTCTACGCAGATGCATTAAGGTACAAATATTCATTGCTGTTACTTTGAAAGTGAAAGTGAAGTGACATGTGGCCAAGTATGATGACCCATACTAGGAATTAGTGCTCTGCATTTATCCCATCCAAAGTGCACACACACAGCAGTGAACACACACACGGAGCAGTGGGCAGCCATTTTTTGCTGCAGCGCGCAAAAAATACACAAAATTTTGGTACACTGTGAATACACAAACTTCCATCAGTTCTCAGTTTTCTTGAAAGTGATCACACTGCAGGGCATCTTGGCTTTCAGTTCAACAATTTCCCTAGGAAACAATGAGACGATCTGCTTTTATGGTTGATTTTGCATATTTTGTGGTTTATGTGCTTTTTCACAGGGCAGTGTGTAGGAAGCATGAACTGACACAGTATGAACTGGAGATGGCCGCCCAGGATCTGACCTCTAAGAAACAGCAGCGGGAGGAACTCGCCACAGGGGTCAGTGTCCATTTGACCACATGACACAACTCCACATCTTATGTCTGGAATGGGGGACTTTCCAGCAAGATTTATATAAACCAGGGTTCATGTCATATCAAAAGAATGAGGGAAAAATATAGGGAAACGATTATAAAATATATAAAGCATTTATTTTCTGTTTTTCAATGCGTTTGATTAAAAAATATAAATTTAATATAGTTGGATATAATGCAGCATTTACTTTTGTCCCACAGCCCTCAATCAAGTTTGATTTTTGGTCCTTCATAGTAAAAATTTTGGCCATCTCTGCTTTAAAACATGTTTGGGTTTGCATGTTTTTTTGTTTTTTTTAAGAGTTTAACAGTTTTATACAGTTAAAATTGTGTTTGCATGAATAGAGCCTGTAGAGAATTACCTCATTGGCACATTTAACATGTAAACATCTGAGCAGCACAAAAAGCCAACGATATACGAAAGACATTCTGGCCTGATTGGCTGATATGAATAATTACTAGGCCCACTTGGCCAAAAAATGGGAGTAAAAATGTCCATATTTCAGCTTTCTGCAAATAAACATGGGAGGAAGAGTGTGGCTTACTCTAGCCAATGTTTTTTTTTTTTAATTATTTTTTTTTCTGTGTAGACGATACGGACCTTCTCTCTGAAGGGAGTGACCAGTAAACTGTTTGGACAAGAGACCCCAGAGCAGAGAGAGGCCAAGCTGAAAATGCTGGAGACACAGATTGAAGAAGGAGAGGAACTGGTCAAAGAAAGGAACGCCGAATGCGAGTAAGTAGTGCTCTATTCACACACAACTAAATTGATGTACTGCTGCTGACCAAAAGCAATAAATGTTATCAGAAAATTACTTAATTAGGTGGTTTATGAGCTGAGAAGCTTACTCAACAAAACTGCATTGCCTTCTTATTCTCTGTGGCAGTACAGAAATGATGAAATATACAGATATGCTCCAAATACACATTCTTTGCTCATGTTGTTGCATCCCTGAGAAACTCATCTAATAAGGGTGAGTTGAACCCAAAAACAGGCTAATCATTCAGGGCTTTCTTAAAAATATGTAGATTTGAGGATATAACCATTCAAGTCAAGCTTCATCCGAGTGATTATTTCATACAATCTTTGTCTGTTTTTGTAGGGAGTTTGTGAAAAGTGCATGGGTGGACATTGAGAGGTTTAAAGAGCAGAAAGACCACGATCTCAGAGAGGCTCTCATCAGCTATGCCATCATGCAGATCAGCATGTGCAAAAAAGTGAGTAGCATCAAAGCCAGCAAATTTTGTCATTACAAAACAATCAAAACACCAGTCTCTACTGATCAGACACAAGGGGGAAGTCACATACTTGTTTTAAAAAATAAGCCTGTTTTCTTTTTAGGGAATTCAAGTGTGGAACAACGCTAAAGAGTGCTTCAGTAAGATGTGAGGGTTCCAGCCATGACAAGAACACCAGGAGGCCTTGGAGATGTCAATCCAGAAAAGCACACACTCCTAGAGACTGACCTTGGGGACTAAAGTCTTCCTCTCAATCCTAAACATTTGTCAGCCTCTTGCACCAGATGCTCTGGTGTAAATAGGTATCAATTACAATAGTTTAGGAGTCCAAATAATGAATGAATGGGGTGCTGTTTTATTTATTTCCATGTTCACGAGCCAGATTTTAGACCTGGTTACTTTTGTTACTGCACTAATTTGACCTACACAAGAGTTTGTGAAGGTAACGGACAATTCTTAACACTTCAGACAGAAACAAAAGAATGACTTAATTAGTATTGATTAATCTTGAACTATGGAATCACTTGTTTATAATTTGTTAATGTCTTTTCCTTTATGCTTTTTGGTGCCAAAATGTGTTAAAATCATTCCTTTTTTTTCTACTTTTCGTTAACTTTTTACTACTTTAGTTCACCATAAAACACAAAAGCACAGATTCAAACTGTCGAGGCAAAATAAGAGGGTGGGTTTTCTTAGTGAATCCAGCAGTTCCATTTTTATCGTACCCCACACCCCTCCTCATAATGGTGGTCTCGCACATCTGGAACATGTCCAGTTTCTGTGGGACATGCAAAATGATCTTTATCACCTGGCGCAGAGGACACCAAAAGTCAGATTTCCTATGAAAGGAAAGTAACTTGTCTTATTCGCATGCAAACTAAATTTGCCCTGATGCTCATACAGCAAACAAAGTGGCATAAATTCATCATAATGTGCTGGTCTGTCACTTTTCTGCACATTTAGCCATAAAAACATAAGCTGTTTATGACCACGGATCCCCTCCCTTTATAGGGTTCAGTTCATCTGAAAAAAATATTAATATGCTGTTTATGCCTTATTCAAGACTTAACTCTGCATATTTTCTTTGTTGCCGCAGCTTCCACTATGAATGCCATTTTTGTCATCTGTTATGATGAGTGGGTGGGTCAGTGTTTTGATATAAATCTGGCTGAAGGAATACGAAGGTCACAGGAAAGGCAGGATATAATAATTTCCTCATTTTAGAGCTGCATGTGTAACTCAGCCTGACCCCTGGTCATTCGGTTCATTTTTTTTGGGGGGGGGGGTTTAGAGTGGGGCAGAGATAACCCTTTTGTATATATACTGTTAAAATCGTTGTGTAACACTAATGGCAATGATAATAGAAAAAAATACCATTATCATTTGGCTTATGGTTTCATATGTTGTGAGGGTCTGTTGTGTTCATCTGTTTGATAGTCTAAGAACTCAGCAGAGATCATTTGGATTATTTACAGAGTTCGTTTGGGTTATATGAAATTGCTGAGTTTGAGGCGTAATGAAAATACATTGTATGAGAATGCTCATGTATATTAGGGAAATAACCAAATATATTTAAAAGTTTAATCAAGTTTAAATCTGTCAAGTATTTTAACACTAAATAGAATACATCCTGTAACATGAGCTGTGTACTGGTAAAAAGAGTGCATTTCTTTAAACTGATAAATTGTTGTCATCTCTACAGCCTCTCAGCCATTTTCTCAGGAAGAATCTCCATTTGTTTCTAGGTTGTAATGCTTCCCTCTAGTGGTGTGTTATACTTATAAACCAGTTTTATAACCAAAGTCTTTGATATAACAGACTTTACTGTGGTCAGATGTTTAGTTTGAATTTTGTTTGAAGGTTTACAACAGGTTTCAACAAAGTAAATGAGTGAACACTTTTTTTCCAGTTCCTATTTTTTTTTTAATTCTGTTAAATATCTTATCAAATTGAGCCAAAATCAGAAATGAATGTTTTTATATTTAAGTGCCACCATTTGAGCTGTTTTAGGGCAGTAGTTCGCAACTTTTTTGACTTAAAGGCCATTAAGTTCAAAGACTTATTCAATAGTCCTTCATATTTGATATATTTTCTGTGGTATTTTTCTTGTAATTATGTCGCTGGTTTCATTATATCGCTGGTTGTTTTTCAACCTTTTTATTAACAGGAACCGGGAGTGTATATATATTAAATTAATTAAACATGTTTTTTCAACAATAAAAAAAAAGTTATGGAGGAATAGAGGAATTGTTTTGTTTTTGTGTATTTAGCATTTAATTCATTTTATTTTATTTATTATTATTACATAAATCATTTTAAGTTATCCCCTTGGAAGTTTATTTTAGGGGCTTTTTAATCTTTGAGAGTCTGTTTCTATTTCTGTTTTCACATACAGTACAGTGCATCATTAAAAAATATTAAAATATATCTTAAAATGACGTGTCAAGTTATTAAAATAAATGTACAATCTGAACAGAGATAATCAGACTATAAAATGTGATCTGCGTATCTAGATAGACCAGAAATAAAATAGAATTAAAATACAACAGATCTTACAAATGTATTTATATAAAAATATTTATTTATATAAACAAATAATTATATATATATATATATATATATATATATACACAATTTGTTTAGTCTGCACAACTAATATTTCAGGGATTTTAAAATATTTTTATGTATTTAATTGCTATTATTGAGTCCTTGTGTTTAACACCAAAAGTCTCTTGACAAACAATCCTTGAAATTCGTAATTCTGTTATGAGTCTTGAAAGAGTTAGTAATTGAGGCTTACATATAACTGATTATGACTACGTCAATTAATATAACATCTCACATAATTCTCTACTATTAGCTACACTTATTATATTGCTTAAATATATTTCAAACAGGAAGCAAACACGTCCTGTCAGTGAGGCTCATTAGAGCGGGTCCGTTGCGATCCCACAATGCACCGCTGCGCAGCTGCAGATGGAATGTAGCTCGCTAGCCTCTCATGCTAGCCGCAGCATCGCAGTAAAGTTTGACAAACACACCACGAGCGGCTCGAACCCGCCGCCAGCGCTGCACTGACGACACATGCGGTATGTATACTCTTCATCTGCGAGGCTCTTCGTTACAATCAGCCGTGAAAATGTTTGCAGTCCGGCCTCTGTGTGCGTGATGAAACGGCAGCATAGAGTTGGAGATCAGGCCGATTTTAAACTACATTCATATATTAAAATACATTAAAATCATTATTAAAATAGAGTAGGTTTACTAAGCTCATGTCAAATTAAATGCGCAGCTGTATCTGTGACAGTGGCAACAGGCAGCCAGTGTTGTGCTTGAGTGTAAACACAGTCATGTGTTAGTTTCAGTTTATTTTTAGTTTATGCACATCGGCATTATTAAGTTTGTATACATAGAGATTAAACACTTATCTTTGGCCATTTTATATTTTAATCATACGTTGATTCACTTAATATGCTGGTTGTATTTAGTTTAGGTTGATGATTGAAATGTCTTAACGTTACATAACTTGACTTCTACTATGTCTATGCATATGGAATTATTTATTTACCTCTAATGTAATTTTTGCTTTGCTACAGTCAAGATTGTCTTGCTCACTGGGTGCATTAAGGGAAAATTATCTGTAGAGATGCTTTGGAACAATATTGTGAAAATGCTATAAAAATTAGATTGATATGACGGTCTCATCTGGTTACATCTGTTATGACAAAACTGCAGGATGCCAACCAGCTCATATGCCTCAGTAGAATAAGAGAATAATTATGTAAAGGTCACCCTGGGTTAATAATTAACCCCAATCAGGTATGTTTGTAGTATTCATATTAATAATATTAATATTTGTGAGGTCATGTCAATAACATTGATTGTTGTTAAGTAAAGTCATTTATGTATATAACTCTTTATACAATACAGATTGTTTCAGAACAGCTACGCAGTAATAAACAGGAAAATAACATAGTGTTGCAAAGTTATCAAATATTAAATATTTCAATTCCTTTATAGCAGCTCTACAGAAGAAAAAATGTCATTATTAATTTCAGTTCTGTTCAGTAACAACGTCAGTGTTGCAAAGTTCACCAGTTATTGTGAAACAACTTAAATTTCAGCTATAAAACAGCTTTACAGCTGACCGTTGTCAATATTGAGCAAAGTTTTTGTAGTTTCGTTCAATAGTGTCATCACTGTTAAATTGATAATAGTTTCGAATATAAATAAATAATAAGCCTCGTTAAACCAGTAAGAAATTATGTATTGCAATCCATTTTGAGTCAGTTCTTCATAATGCATGAATCTGACATGAATGCATCCTTATTAAATTAGTTCATGCTCCAGTAGCAATTCGGTTCAAGACGTGTCAAGTCAGATCAAGTTTAATGTCATTTTCCTCTGCCTAGCAGGTGATGAAAATTATTTTTGTTTGATTGTGCATATAGGCTAGGCCAACACTGGGGTCCAAAAGAAAATTTCCTTTTTTCATTTAAACCTGGAAATGATGTTTTAGGGTTTTCAAAAGATCAGATTTCCATCAATTGAAGCGCAAGATGCTGTTTGACCTCATATCATGCTGGAGAACATGGATCATCAGGTTTTGCTCCTGCTTGTCAAAAGAGGGGATGCGAGTTTTGTTGCCTTTAAACTCAAGCTCGTTGTTTCTCTCAGCCAGGTGACGGAGAGGAAGTGCTGTGAACGCAACTGCTGATAGGAATCCTTATGTTGGTCCTGTCTCTTCCTGTAGCTTCAGCTCAACTGCTTAGCATTCAGCGATGAACATTGATGACAAGCTGGAGGGGATGCTTATGAAATGTAGCCCTGTGGGGCTTCACCACTCATCCAGAGGTCTGGGACCCTCGAGGGTGGACGGAAGAGGAAGAAGAGGCAGTTTGGATATGACACTTGGGGAACGGAGCTTGGCTAATCATCCCCTTTTGGCAGAGGATGATGACGATGATGAAGATGATGATGAAGACCTGGCAGGTGGAGGCATGACCTCGCATGATCTGATATCCCAGGATGACCTGATGGTTCACGAGGAGACGGTGAAAAATGATGGACAGGATGAAGCAGCTTTCTCACAGCGAATCTCCCATAAACTACACTATACACTCAATATGCCAGTAAGTGTACAGCTGATTAAGAGCTAATTACTGCAGCGCTTTAACACTATTATTTATTTTACTTGTGCAAGTTCCAACAACCTTGTCAGTGAACCACACACACACACAAAATTGAGTAAATATTGGGTAAAGAAAGCGTGCATTTCTTTTCAGCAAATTTGCTAAAATTATGTATATAATAAGTGTACTGTAACTGAGAAATTCAGTAAATGAATTTTATTAATGATTTTTGTTGTTGTTGTTACTTTTGTTAGGTAAATATAAAGCAGGAGATGAAAGTGCCAGACTCATTGATTCTCAATAAAAAGGAGAAGAAACCGGGGTGGGACCCATCTGACTGTCACAAAAAGAAGAAGAGAAAGCAGCGCTCGCCTGCAAAGGTTTACTATAATTCATCAGAGATGCCACTGATAAAATACCATTGTGCTCTAAAATACCAGTTCTCTAAGTGAGAGATACTTTACAGTGCAAAGCAGTGGTGGTAAAATAATTTAAAGTTTAACGTGAGTTTGAAAGTGTCCTGAAATTGCTTATTTTGTCTGCTTGCTTTTTTATAAATTGTTTTATTTATTTCAAGGCTGCTTGCCTACTAAAATTATTGTTTTTACTCATAGAAATGTTATTATACTAAAAACTGCGATGCACATCTGTGAGTAAGCTGAACTGACATTTATCATGTCCTTTTACGGTATTGGTTAGCCAGGACACAAAGTTATGACCACTCTGGAGTTATGATGCTCTAAAGAAGCACAGGCATGAAAGTTAAGGTAGTTTTGAACTTATTTCCTCCATCTTGCTAGATTCTCACTATTAATGAAGACGGCTCCCTTGGGCATCAGAACCCAAAATCTCATGTCTGTGAGCACTGCAATGCTGCTTTTCGGACAAACTATCATTTACAAAGACATGTCTTCATTCACACAGGTGAGTGGTGTAATGTTCTTTGAGAATAATTGTCATATAAAAGAACAAAATGGTGAACAAAAATTTATATTTTTTTGCAGGTGAAAAGCCTTTTCAGTGCAATCAGTGTGACATGCGCTTTATTCAGAAGTACCTGCTTCAGAGACATGAGAAGATCCACACAGGTGAGCAGAAAGGGATTAAAACCATTATACCAGTGGAAAAAAAGAAGTGACATTTATATTTTTCTTCAAGGTGTTGTAAGATATGTTCTTTAAGAATGTACAGTACAGAAATCTTCAAAGTCAATGATCCATTTATAAATGTAGTCCATTGCAAGCCCCTTTTTTGTGGTACATCTTTATACTCTGAGAAAAGCAAGTCTAGGGTCAAAGCCTAGTTTTTTCCATCGAGTCTTGGCATGGAAAAAGTAGGCCTACTTAACTTGCCTAAATTGTTCTTTATATCGTTCACAACTGCCTGTCATGTCTCCCCTTTAGGAGAAAAACCTTTTCGCTGTGATGAGTGTGGAATGAAATTTATTCAGAAATACCACATGGAGAGACATAAGAGGACACACAGCGGGGAAAAGCCTTACCAGTGTGACTATTGCCATCAGGTATGCGCAGTTCAAAGCAAATCAGATTTGATTCTGTGCAATTAAAATGTTAGCATGCATTATACAGTATGAAACATGATTATGTATATTTTTCCCAACAGTTTTTTTCCAGAACTGACAGAGTACTAAAGCACAGACGAATGTGCCATGAGATGGAGAAGCAGTTCACCTCCCCATCCCGGTTCAGACCGAGCATGAACTCGCCATTGAGATCCACTTTGGAGAAGCCTAATTTTAGCCTTTTAGTAGATTCCCAACACTCCTTCTCCTTTTCAGGTGACGAGACAAACCCTTCCTCAGTTTCGCCAACGGAGGACTTCCTCGACCAAGTGACCTCTCCCAAAAAAACAGATGCGCAAAGCATTAGTCAAGCATTTCAGATTGCTACTTTTGACCAGAACTTTCGATCTCAATTCCCAAGCTCACGATCTGGAATATCCTCACAGTTTAGCATTGCCAGTGGACAAGTTAGCCTGAGAGGTCATGGAGGAACGGACTTCCCAGAGTTCTCTCTTGTTAGTGAAACAAGAACTCAACTAACTTCATCTCCAGATGCTACAAGCAGCCACACCTTTGGCTAAACGGGAGCTTTTAATGATTTAAAGCATTTTAAAGGCACTTTATAGTTCTGTCAGTGAAGGCAATATGATCTCTGTGCAAATACTTATGATTTTCAATCTTTAAACAATCACGCATGTGCGAGAATCAAAAGGAGCAGAGTGATGCACACATTAGATTTTATTATCGAGCTATGGGATACTCTTTATGTGTCATTGCATTATTTGTGTATTACACATAGTGCTTGGGACAACACACTATGGCTTGCCAAATTAGCTAGCTTGTGTGTTCTAAAATGAAGAATTCAAGCTACTACAACAATGCTGTTGTAGTCTAAATTTATAGGGTCAGCTTCCCCGAAGAAAAAACTATACAAAGATCAATTCTTATTTGGCCTCTTGTTAGCATTCAGTTCTTTTGCTGGAACATCAGGCTCAACGAACTGACCTAATAATGTAGGTCTATAGAAACTACTCTAGCCTAGCATTACAATCAGTTTTTGTATTTAATTAGTTTTGTAACATGTTGTCTGGAGAGCTACTGAAAGGACCTTACTTTAATGCCCTAGACTTGAGTAAGGCACTTTGTGATTGATGTACTGCAAGTCACTTTTGTTTAAAAAAAACGAGTAACATTTTTCTCACCCCTGTCATTGTAAGCTAATTTGTGTATTTAATCTTTTTGTGCATTTAATTACTTGTTGGAATGTTTTTATATATATATTTGTATTCTCTGCTCCCATAAAGAATCTCTCCAAGACACATTTTGTTTAGAGCAATCTGCAGGTATTGTCATACTGAATTTGTATGGACCTAGCCCATAATTTTATATAATGATATTATATAATCATGAAATATTTTTGCACATTTCTCCTAAGGTTATTGGATCAAAAAATAGATATTCTCATGCTCCTTCTGTGGGAATCAGTACATTTTCGTTAGAGACTGTCTTGCCAATCAGATATAGGTGCACATGGGTAGCAAGGCATCTGTAGAGGGTTTGTTTTCTCACATCCCACATTTGGAGATGCAGTTTTAGCAGTTGTCCAGGGCAACAGCACTAACAGGTATGCACTTCTTCATTTGTCATCATTGTGCCTGACTCAGTTGTTAGTTCAGACTAACAATAGTCAAAATACAATACTTTGTTAAAAAATGTGCACATTTCATCACTTTGGTTTCCTTAAGATGACTTCATTTGTTGACAGTCTGTTTTCTTGAGTTTTCAGATGCACTCAATATCTGATAAACATTACCCTTTAAATAGCACTTTCAGCTTGTGGGCAGTTTTTATTTTTTTTTAAAGCACTTTTCAGTTACCACCTTCCATCTACATAATGTACACATTCAAAAATCTGATATAATCTATATCAGTGTTGAGTGAAATCAAGAAAGATAATTTAAGAATGTATGGTCTGAGATCATATTTTTATGCTTTTTCTTTGTCTCAAAAACACCCCATCCATTAGCAAATATGTCTTTGTATCAGATTCACTTGCTGTTACTTATTGGATTAATATAGAACAAAAAATAAAGTGTAATGTTTGGTAAAGTTGTACTAATATGTATATGTACACATTTGTTAATTGCGCATCTCTTATTGTTAGCTTAATAACTAATCACGTAAATTATAAGCTTTGCTTCTGTTCTCTCAGATTGTTTATGGAAACTTACCTGCTTTCCCCTAAACTGTATATTGATTAATCTTAGCTTTATGATTTATAGTAATAGTATCATGCCAAACTGTACACTCTTTGTAAATCATTTTTAAAACATTCTTATGTACGTTGTTTAATGGTTTTATAAACAATTTACACACAAATTCGCTCTGCTTATGTTTCGTGAATGAGGCCCATTAAGAGCAGTTCTGTGTGTATGTTTTTTTCATAGTCCGTATGTTCTGGGTGTCAAAAGACATTTTACTGTTTTTGATTACGGTATATTATATGTGTGCCTAAACATTCCTTTACTGTCCCTTTATTTTTTACATGTAAATAGGTTGTATATTTTAAGTTGGAGTGTAGAGTGAGTGCAACATTATTTAATATTTGCTGCCATTTTGGTTTACTCTTTCCTACAGTCCCTGATGACTTTCAGCACAACTTTTGTGATAAAATCATGTTTGTGTTCTTGGTTGTAAAATTACAAATGTACTGTCCTCTAAGAATTGCCTCTGAATGCAATTTTAATAATTACAATTTGATTAAACCTTGTATGGATCTCATACACCCTCAGAGGATGAGTTTTTAGGATGTTATTTATCGTTTCAATATCATGTGATACCTGCATTATGTAAGGAATAATTGACGACTCCGCTTTGCGTCGTGGCCGCATCACCACCTCGGGTGTGCATTATTTTCTAAGAATTCAACGGACCGAAGTCAATTATTCCGCTTATACAACGGTTACCACACCTGAAGACATCGATCATATTATATATTTCAAGGCATTTGTCCGGTTTTTGTACTTAAAACGCTATTGTGAGTAGGATTCATTTCTTCAGCATCTCATCCAACGCCTCCGTTGCTAATTCCAAAACGTCATTTTAGACCTAGTAACGGAGGCTTGAGCCGTTGACAGCAGACTAATGCAGTTAATAACTAAGTTATGAGAGCGAGAGAGAGAGATTACGTCTGTGCGTCTCTCAAAAGTGTTGAGATGGTCTTCCCTGCAGAACACAAGATCCAGGGGGCGTGATTGGATCCAGATCCAACTCCTCCCACCTTACATACACCTAGAACTACCCGTTTCCACCCCCTAATCCCTAAACCTACCAATCTCCACCCCCTAGATATGGGAGCGATAGAGTATGTGCTTTCCGTACATATTAAAACGTAATTTTGTGGCTAAAACATGGTAATGATCTGTCGTTTTTATCTTATTGTTTACTATATTTATTTGTTTGGCCAGTGTCGTTGTGGGTTTTGGTTCTTTTGCTGTTGTAGGCTATAAGGACCTCCTTGGCGAAGTGATATGGACATGTAATGCGGTCAAGACCTGCCTGGAACTACGTTCGCCGTGCGTAGTATACAAATATTTAATAAAAAATTACTGCTACAGATGCTCCAGAAATTGATGAAAGGGAAATAATAATTTGAGGGAAGACCTTAATGTCTTGTTTTAGCTTTATTTCCTTTTAGTAAATTGTGCACTGTTTTTTTTTTTTTTGTAAGCTCAATTGCTGTTGGTAAAAGGTCATATCCATTTAGACACATGACTGTTATCCTTCATTATTGATTGGGTATTTTGAGCATCAAAGTTTCATCTGGTGTTACTGACAGTGGATCATTATTTTCTTTCAAGCTTAATTTGAGTGAAAAACTGAATGGTTTTATTTAGTAAGGGAGCTCTTCTGAATAGTTTTAGACATTTAATTTTATTGGGGAGTGCATGTCCTCTGACTGTCTTTGTACACTGGTTATATTTTTATATGTATCCATTTTATTGTAGCCAAATTATTTCCATAGAATATACTTTAATTAAATACTTTGCCTAAGACATGGGGAAAAAGTTCTGATTGGATGTTTTTGATTGCGTGCCTCTTGTTGTGTAATATTAAATTAAAAAGAGTGCTTTTTCCATGTGTCATGATCACTCATCACAGGAATGGGTGGCCTCTGCCTTCTTAGTACAAGCACTACTGTGTGTGAATCTCATAAAACCAAATGTCTAGTTCATTTTTAACAATCAAGAAAACGGTTTTTTTGGTCTAAATTAAATGCCTTTATGACCATTAACATTTTTTTGCATTGTGATTGCATATATATTTTATACAATTAAACATACTTCTCCCAATTCTCTTTAACTAAATGCAAAAATCTCAGTCATGTCAAAAAGTATATAATGTAAATTATTCACAGTATTATTTCTATGGTTTAATGAAATACTCATGGTCCTAAACATAGGATTCTCTAAAAAAAAAAAAAAAGATTTTTTATTTTATTTTAAATCTATGGGTTTAAATGTACCCTGGGAACATTTTTGTGAGAGCTGACAAAAAAGTAGACTGGGGTTGAAAATATGGCTTTAAATCGTGTATGGTTGACACATGACCACAACTAACCTAATTTGCATAAAAGTATCTTTAAATGATTTTTGACTTTACCTCATAAATATTCACTAGTTGGTTTTATAAATGACAAGAAATAAACAATACTGAAACCCTGACTAGTCGAAGAACAGTGAAATGCAAATAAGAGCTGTACACTGGCAGCACACACCTGAGGTGGCGCTGATAGAACAGATGTTTGTTTAATGACGTTTTTTGCACACGTAGCGTTTCCATGAATGACAGCGACACACAGACAGCTGTTATGCTAAAATTCTTAAAGTAAGAATTCGTCAAACGATTTAATATAGGCTACTATACTAAAACAATTGTGTCATGGTTAGTGTCAATTTAGTAAGTTACTTCAATAGCACTTCTTCAAAAGTTACTTCAAAAGCAGAACGTTTACAAATAAAGTTTTTTTTTCTTTAATGTTTGATGCTTTAACTGGTTGTTTTATCTAAACGAACCGTTCTAAAGAATCGATTCGCGGAAATGAGTCGAACCACCTAACTCCTCAGGTGTGTGTTCGTGCCTCTCTCACATTCTCCACCTGCTGCTGCTGCATCCGGGAGCACAGTGACTGCAGGTAAGTCAGTGTCTTTATGATTACTCAAGGAATTTACAGTTTAACAATATCCCAAAACAGCAGTTTATCCGTTTATTTAGGGCCCCTTTCACTGGCCGTTCCAGTAGAGTTTACAACGAACCATTGCACTATATAACGTTAAAGTAAAACACAAACACATAGTCAGACACAACTTAGTCACGTGAAATTCAATGCTTGCCTTTTATCTTAAAGTAGCTATTAAAATATTGGTCAAGCGCGGGATATGAATTGTAAGTGTTTTATTAATGTGTCACTTCTTAACAGACGGCTTTTGTTGGCTTAAATGTATCTAAGTTACCTGGCCATCGCCTACTTGGCAAATGTTGTTAAAATTGGCTTTGTATATACTGTACTGAAGCCTTTCAAATGAGTATAGCAAAGTCTTTACATTCCTCAGATCCAGCTACTGTAATCTTGCCCAGGAGGGAGCATGAGTCCTCAAGTTCAAGAGTTATTCCATGAAGATGTACAGGTAATGGCAAATCAGTTAGTTTTACCATAAAAATAATTAGAAACCCATAAATTCAGACCTAATGTTCTACCCTGAGCAGAGGAACTGATATTAATGGGGGCTTATTTAGATATGAGTGACACTGGTTTATGTAGGGTTCCCAGAGTAATGCTCAGCCTTGGTGGAAGGTGCAGCTCTTCGTCTGGGAACCTGTTCTTTTTGGCACCTGGGATGGAGTCTTTACTACCTGCATGATCAACATTTTTGGGGTGGTGCTCTTTTTACGGACTGGCTGGCTTGTGGTAAGTTATGTTTTATGATTGATACACATATGCACTACAAGCATCATGAAATCTGAGAATTTATTTAAACGGCATTTGAAAAGTTTTTGAAAAGTTCCAAGGTTTTGGTTCATATCTATGGAATCCCATTTCCACCATGGAATAAAAAAAAAGTTGCAATTACTTTTTGCGAGATATGAGCTCAGAATACAAACTTACAGTTTGAATGCAACGTACATAATTGTGAGATATAAACTGCACCTTTTTTTTTGCAATTCCAAGTTTACGTCTCACAATTCTCACCTTTTTACTCAGAATTTTGAGTTTACATCTCACAATTCTGTTTTAATTGCAACTTTTTATCTCACAATTCTGACTTTTTTTCTTGCAATTCTGAGTTTATATTTCGCAGTTCTGGGGAAAAGACTCAGAATTGAAAAGAATCAGTATTGTGAAATATAAACATAGGGTTGTGAGAGAAGTCCAAGTTGTGAGAGAAAACGTCGCAATTTTTTTTATCCCATGGCAGAAACAGGCTTTCATACGTCTCATGTTTTGGCAGCAATTAAATGGGGATACAATAAAAATGTAAAGTTTTTTTTCCCATATGAACATCTTTAGGGTAACACAGGTGTGTTGCTGGGCATGCTTCTGGTATCCATGGTGGTTTTAGTCGCCTTGGTTACGGTGATGTCAGGCATTGGCGTGTGTGAGTGTTGCAGCGTGGGTAACGGTGGGGTCTACTCCATGACCTCCACTGTGCTCGGAGGAAGGGTTGGAGGAACTGTGGGACTCTTATATGTGTTTGGACAGGTGAGCAACTCCTTTCTGTATTAGTTATATTGCATATGCATTGGGTGGTCAGTTCACTGTTCTCAAGTTTGATGACAGTCATGTGTCTTGTTGGCAGTGTGTGGCTGGAGCGATGTACATCACTGGTTTTGCCGAGTCCATTGCGCAGGTGCTGAACTTACAGAGCATGTGGGTGGTGAGGGGCATCTCTGTGGCCGTTCTGATTGGTCTGCTCGGGATTAACCTGGCTGGGGTAAAATGGATTGTACGCCTTCAATTGGTTCTACTGGGCATATTGGCTATGTCCACTCTGGATTTCGTCATCGGGACATTTAGTCATCTAGACCCAGGTGAGCTGGTGTAACAACTGCTGTACATCTTGGTACAGCTATGTTTGGTGTTTTTAATGAAAGTTAAAAAACTTTAATTAAAACAACAACGTAGATCCCCCATTGAGTGCAATAAAAAAACTCTGACACAGGTGTATAGAAGTTCATGTATTTCTTAAAATGAAAAATAAAACCATTAAATCTAATTTTAACAGGCAGTTGTGACTCTACCAAAGGTTTCCATTTAATAAAGTAGCGCTTTAGGAAGAGATTCTTGCCCTGAAGTGTTGTTTTCACAGACCCTACTAAACAGTGCCTGCCTTTCTTATATTGACACTTCTTTCTTTGCACATTTCCTGGCAAACCTGCCAGACGAGGATATACAAGTTCGAGTCATTGTATATATTGGTCTAAATTTGCAGTGTGCTAAAGGATTTATTTTTTTTACCAATGTACATTTCTCTTTTTTCTGTTCTGTTATTTCACAGTTTCTTATCTGTATTTTTATGTGTGGTGTAATATGCATTTATTGGAGTTGAAAAGTAGTTTGATGCAGCTTATTAATGACAATATATACACTACTGTTCAAACAGTTTGGGGTCAGTAATGTTTTTTTTTTTAAAGAATTAATGCTTTTATTCAGCAAGCATGTATTAAATCGATCAAAAGCAACAGTGAAAAATTTTACATTGTCAAAATTAAAATTTTTACAAAATTTGTATTTCAAATAATTGCTGTTCTATTGAAATGTCAAAGAATCCTAAAAAAGGTATCACAGTTTCTAAAA